AGACTCTCTATTTTTAAAGTACATATTTAATAATTTAGAGAGCATATATAAATTTAAAGAGAAAAAATTTTAAGTGCTCCAAGAGTCTCTTTATTTTTATTACTTGATTTTACTACTCCTAAAAAGTATTTATTATTTTTCTCCATCTTTTATTTTTACTAGCTTCCATTCAAATTATTATATTATTTTTTACCAAAAAAAATAAAAATAAAAATTGAAATGGTTTGAGTGTATTAAATTACAGCGAGCGAATTTGGCTAACCCACTTTTTATTTTAAAATGTTAATTTAAGGGTTGACTCTTTAAAATAGAGAGAATCTTATGTTTAAAGATTCTTTTGAAGATACTCTTATAAAGTTAGAATAAAGAGTCCTTTCAAATATTTTTTAAGCATTAACTATCTAAAATAGAGAATATCTTTTTATTTTTATTTTTAAAGAGTTTGTTAGATATGCTCTAATGGCTCCAACTTGCACTCAATATAATTAATTCTACTTTTTCAAATAGACAAGTTATTCCTTTTTATCAAAAATATTTTTGTAAAAATGTAAATTCTACTAATTAATGCCACCATAGTATAACAGTTATTATGCTACAAAAATATTATCGATAAAATGAAAAAACAATGACTCGAAATAAGTAGAACTATGAGATGACCATAAGACGTCACAAAAACATGACATTGAAAATCAAAGATTCACAACAACTACGGGTTTTTATGACATTTTCTTTCACTATTGTGTTTCCAATGAAGTTTCTCTTTCTACAATTTTGACAATTTGCAACATATCTTACTCAATCTCTAAGTTCCCTCTTATTATAAAATCATGTATACAGTGGCAAATCCAAAATGTTGACTCAGCACGGGCGGCCTTTAACCGTGGACCGCGGATCGCAGACCTCAATAAAATATTAAGAGCTCGTTTGATTACCCTCTCTCTCTCTTTTTTTTTTTTTGCAAAAAATACATTTTGGGATAGTGATTTGATGGAGAATGTGTAGTTAAAAAAAGTTTTGAATTTGTGTGTAATATTATTTTATTAGCAATGTTTGATTGAAAATAAGAAAAGAAAAAATGTATTATGAAATAAATGAGAATCAAACAAGGCTTAAATTTTAAATAGAATAATTATTTTGCTGGAGTTGAACATATATAATTCTAATATAAAAATAAATCGTACTCATTAAATGACATGGTTGCTTTATATAATTCAAAGGATAAGCGTGAGTTCAATATTTTTGAATTGCATCAAAATCCCTAAAATCTAACATATATTATTTTGTTAAACTTAATGGTACAACTTAGCAATTATCATAGTGGCCAAGCATTCAACATTTTCAAGAATAACTCACAAGTTCGAATCTTCTCTAGTGCAACCATTATTACAAGAATTTTTGATAAAAATTGGATAACTAAAAATGTTATACAATAAATTGGGTGGCAAAAGGTTCAAACCCGGGACTTCCAAGACAACATTCCAAGCACTAACCAACGTGCCTAGAAGAAATGGTTGAAATAATAATGAATTACCAATAATATATTCTAAATCTTTATCTATTCTCAACATAAAAAAGGCTCTCGGCCGATCCGTTACGCGCGACCGCGGGGGCTCGCCAAGTGCTGGATCCGCCAATGCATGTAGATAAAAATAATAATCAATAATTAAGTGTTAGAATATGGCTTTTAATAAAATTAATATTTTAAAATGAAACATTACTTCTGGATATATATAATGAGAGCTTAATATGCTCAAATAAGTTAATCACATTTTGAGATTGATACATCGAGAGCAAGTTTGGTCCAGATTTTAATCCAATTAATATCAATTTTTTAACAGTTATTTCACTATTCCAACCGTCATTTTTGAATTCTTCTTTCACAGGTAGGATCTACTTTATCTCTAACGATAAAAAAATTAATTAACAAAATCCCTACCAAACAAGCACTAAACATGCCATCAACATATTAGAGATTGTTAATGATAGAATACATAATTAATTAAATATAAAACAAGTACTGATTGAAGAAAATTTATCCTAAAGATCTCAATAAAGTTAATTTTTCAATATGGCATGTTCATCAATCAAATTTTTACAATTTATTTTTAATTTTTTTTAATTTTTAAGTTTACATTAAGAAAACTCAAAATTTATACAAATTTGAATGTATTTCTAACTTAGGGACATCATTAAATCCGTATTTTAGTCCCCATTTTGTAAAATTTATTTTTTTCTCAAATAAATTTTTAACCTCACATCATAAAAATTCCAACTTTTATCAATTTTTTAATCACACATTTCACAAATTTATTTTTTTCTCAAATAAATTTTTAACCTCACATCATGAAAATTTCAACTTTTATCAATTTTTTAATCACACATTTCACAAATTTATTTTTATTTTTATCAACACATGTTAAAAATCTAATTTGTATCCAAATCAAACATGTGCTAAATGTGAATGCTGAATTTTACACATCCTGCTCCTATAATCGAGAACCGTGCCATTGAAAATTTAGCTGCCAGCTTTCATTACAAACAAATAAATGTTCGGTCACCTGTTTGAATCTCTTAAATATCTCCTTTAAATAATGGAATTAAGTTGCCACCTGGCTACAAGATTAAGAGTATGTTTAGCGAGTGATTTTGAGAATTGATTTTTTGATCGTTAGGAGAAAAGTGGGGTCCATCTATGAAAGAAAAAGTCAAATATGATGGCTGAAATAGTGAAATAACAGTTAAAAAATCAATTTTTTGATTGAAAAAATTGCTCCCAAACAGGCCTACCTATTCTTTTCCAAATATTCAATAGTAACCTACCTATTCTTTTTCAAAATTTCAAAAAAATTATGACTAAGACATTAGAATCTTGTTCAAAATCTTTTGTATTTTTTAAAGAACAGTAGTGTGAAAGGTTGAAATTTAAGGTCTGAGCAATAATTGTTTTTGGATACGAGTCATAACATAATTAGTTGATTTATAACACGTTTTATTTATTATTTATTTATTTATTTATTTATTTATTATTATTATTATTATTATTATTATTATTATTATTATTATTATTATTTTAATTTTGATGAATGGTAGGTTCACTTGTATGTTAGGACCATTTTCAAATTTAGGATAATGCCAATAAGCCGTATTTATAGAATGGGATGGGAAAAGGAACTTAAATGGCAACTTGTTAACATAATTGCTTTCTAAACTCACTCAATATAAATTAGAGGTCAGGTGCTCCTAACGATTTGTCCGCTTGTGTGAAGATAAGCTACGTGGATATGAGTGAAGTCAGAATCTATCGACTACATCATTTATGCATAAACCGATGTCAACCGATGTAAAGATTTGCATTTTCAAGTTCAAGAAAACTCAACAATTTACGTCAAATGCTTAACTGTTGGTTTGAATGAGTTCTTTAAAAACACATTTCAATATCACTTTTATTTTCTTTATACTTTGAGATATCGAAAACGTTGACTTGGAAAAGATGAAAGAAACTCAAGTCTCTCATTAATCTAAAATTACACCTATTGAATTCATTGGATCCTTTTACCTGAGTTTTATATAATACCACATTAATGATATGAGTTTGATGTATTATGATGAATTTCAGATGAAAAAAGAATAATGGTTGATGCAATATGCTAGTCATCTTTGAAAATAAAAAATAAAAAAATTCAAATTAAATCCAATTTTTGTTTTTGTTTTTGACTTTAGAACCGAGAATCGGATTGAAATCGATCGAATCTGAATTTTAATATCCAGAATCGATTAAAAATTGATAGAATTGGAGAAACAATTGGCGATAGTCCGGTTCTAATTTCGTCCCATAGTTTTAATAATTTTTGTCCATCTCTATGTAAATTGTATTCCATCAATTAATTAATTTTATAAAAAAATGTACTGAGACAAAATATGTGTATTATAATCAGAGAGAATGATGTACCATATATTTATATTTTTAGAAGTCTCCAGAACCTCTTATAATTAACCATGAAATTGACCCATTGAAAATTCAGCTACCAGCTTTCATAAAATACAAAAAATAGAATGAAAGGTCATTTATTTGGAAAATTATTGCAGAAGAATTCCAGATACTCACATGGGAGTGGGCTTCATATGAGTAAAATAATTGAAAAAATTACCCACCAACCTCACGCTGTTTGTATTTAGTAAAGGGCCTATAAAAAGCTTTTCTGTACATCTAGCGGCTCTCCATTTATTTGATGTCACTTGACTACCTTCATAAAATAATGAATAATGTTATTTAGTCCCGCTTAGATTATGACCCCATTGCATGTGGCATTAATGTGATATTAAATAATTGGTTAAATAAAATGTAAAATAAAATGACTTATTTCATTTAACTTATTATTTAATGTCACATTAAAGTCAAGTAAATTGATATTATAATTTTAATGAAATTAAGTCCCTGTTTGTTTCTCATTTTCCTCTATTAAAACGAAAAATATGACCGTTATCTATTACATCAAATCACCAAATTTGAATTTATATATCTTGTGTGGGGGGCATAACGACTATATTTTTCATTCTTATTTTTACAAAAATGAAAAACAAACGTCTCCTAAATAGCATTGCTCTAAAATAATGGAATTAAGTGGCCACTTGGCCACATTATTGACTTTTTATGTAGTCACTAGTATGACATCACAATTATTGACGTCACTTATCAGCTTCAATTTTTTCCCCTTTGTTTAATATCTTGGCATATAGTGTGTTTTCAATACGAAATTGACTGTTAAGTGTCAAATGGATGATATAGTTTCTTATGGACCATCTATGCTATAAACTAGAAAGACTAGGACCACTTTGCTAACTTTTTTAGACCAACTTATTAACACTAATAAGTTGGAGGACTAGTAGTGCAATTTTCGTTTTTAAAATAGAAGATTTGTCTCAATCATACCCCTTCAAGCCTTCCACTAGCATAAAAGAAGATCGATAGCTTCCATTCCTTCACAGCACTAAAGAAGCACACTCATTACTGCATAATTGATTCTCCAAAAAATATGGCTATGCGCATTCACAGTCTTCCATGCAATATACAAAGTTTCACTGCAACAATTGCTAGTTTAAGCATTATGATATTTATATCTTTTATCAGCTCCGTTCATGGCCGAATTCTGAGAATCAATTCCTCTGATGATTTAATCTCAGATGGAATTGATCATGTTCATGATAAATCTCAAACTCTTACTGCAAATGATGTTCCTGTGTCCGTAAGCACTTGTCAGCACACATATGGCTTCCTACCATGTGCAGAAAATTCTGGAGGATACATTTTCCAAATACTGGTTTATCAGGGTCTACTAGTATTTGGAGGAATGCAGCTGAGCATTGGGAGCAAGGTGTTCTTTAAAATCCTTGAAATAAAATTTCACACAAGCAAATATGTTGGTATCATTTTCCGCATCCTTATGGGGCTACCATCAATGATGATGATGATCAGTAAGTTATAATTCATCTTTTGTTTACTTCTTAACAAAATTCGAAACCTTAAGCAAATCTACAAAATGATAAAGGAAACAATAATTGTTTGTAGTATCTGGAGTTTTCGGTAGCAAAGAGACAGCTCAGTCTCTGGTGTCACTTGGAGTGGGTATCTTTGCTGGAATCACTGTCTTTACTCTCACGCTGCAGTGGGGTATATGTCTGATATATGGCGCGAAATATTTGAAACGTAAACAGGAGTCTACGGATTCACGATCTGTACATACATGTTTCTTGCGAGTCGAAGAAAAATTCAATGAATTAAAAGGTTTGCCTCTTTCACATGAATTAGTTGATCTTTACAATTTAAAAGTATAATTGACAATTCTTTCTTAACTGCAGATAGCAGTGTTGAACTCCAAAGTGAAACTTGTAATGTAGCTGGGGTTATGCTTCTTTCTTTGATTCCTTACATTATTCTGCAACTAGTTGATATCTTCAGTGCATCCCACACTGTGCTTTTGATAGCGTGCATAGTGTCTGCCGCATTTTTACTTTCATATTTTATCTATCAGGTAATATGGTTAAAAGCTAACCTGTATTACTCTTGATTTCATGTACAATATTGCTAATTTCCTTTTTCTTTTCAGATTTGTGATCCCTGGATGCAGCTATTAATTTCAGACTACTTGCAGTATGAGTTTGTAACAAAAGTGCTTTTGCGTCATGTGGAAAAGGAGGGAAATATTGTTCAAGAGAACGGAAAACTTAACTATGCTCTCATCAAAAAGTAAATTTTGAAGTATTATATGCAGATTTCCTAATTATCTCCAGTGAAGGCTCTCACTGTATACTTGTCTTTGCAGGGTATTTGATAAAACAGATAAAGATAAAGACGAGCACATAACAAAAACTGAATTGGAAGAGTTGTTGGAAGGACTCGAGCCAGGGATGTCCCACAGTGATGTACAATCAGCTGTTCATAAGACAATTGAAAATTTTGATCACGACAAGGACGGCAAAATCAACCTAAATGAATTCACCAAAGCGTGTGAATTCTTATCTAAAGATGGTGATTTCTTTTCAAGAGAATTTTCGGACGAGGCAAGCTTCCTAATTCAAGCAAATTTTAAAACTATTGATACTAATGCAATATCTTGTGAAAGTTTTATTTGCAAGATGTTGCTCCATAAATGTATTTAGCAGTGTTTTGAAAATCGGACTGCTCTGACGGGAAAAACTGAGAACCGGGCAGAAATCCAGTTCGATTATAGAGAATAAACTAAATGAAAAGAAACAACCGTCCGGTTCAACCGGAACCTGTGAACCAGAAGTGGGTTTTGCGGGTTTAAAGATTGATATTTGTCCCCCCAAAAAAAAAAAAAAAAGAAAAAAGAAAAAAATGGTGAAGTAGATAACAAAGCTTCCGTCTCCTGGGTCAATACTCACCGATGTCCCACCATCTCAACCGTGAAACCTTCATATTTCATTTTATTCCTAATATTTAAATACACAATGAAAGTAGAAAAGGAAAAAGCACAATATGCGCGCGCGTACACACACACAAAAGAATTTGTATGCATGATAGCGTGAGAAATAAGAGTAGACGTCGGTAGCAGATGTCGGTAATGGGAAGAAGAAGAAAACGGCACTTTACCAAAAAATGAAGAGAAATGAGGCAGCCCTAGAATATAGGTTTGGACTTTGGTTAGATGGACTTTTTATGCATTTTAAAGTAATTTTAGGTCCATTTATTTATAACGTAATTGTACATTAAGTTTTATTGATTAACTAATAGATTTTAGAATTAAAATATTAATAAAGTTTTTTAATTATATTTATAAATTTATATATAAATTAATTATTTAATTATTTTAATTTCCGTGTCGACCCCGGTTCAACCTCAATTCGACTGGTCAACCCTTAACCCTTTAGCTTCTCCGGGTTAATGGCTATGCCGATTTTCAAAACATTGGTATTTAGAGACCTATCATTATTATGTAACTTCTTTTACTGTATAGGATGAAACTAAAATATCCACACTCTTGATTGTATTCTATCCCTTGTAATTTAGCATAATTCACCTACAATTTACTTAAACACCATGCCACTGTCAAGTGCAATGTGCATCAATTATAGTTTTTGAAATTAATTATAACTATATATCTTATTCGGGTTGATCTGCAGATCTTTCAACAGTTTTACCTGATGGGAAAACATCATAAACTGGGAATTCATCCAATAATGTCAAAATTTCTAGTGCACGCTCAAAGCAAACTACCTGACGGAGAATCGCTTATCGGAGAAGATGGAAAGGCCAACATTGAGACAATTAAGAAGTAATTTATTACAATTTGCCTGTTTGTTTACTAGGTTTGACTGAAATTCTTCACAATATTCTTTTTGTTCTGGCAGCCTCTTTGGACAATATGCCATTCATGATAACAATGAGATATCAATATATGAATTAAATGAAATAATCAGACCAGTCAAATTCGGAAAATTGAAGCCGAAGCCGAAACCTGACGATGTGGTTGGAACGATTGTTTACCATTTCGATTATAAAGGTGATGGTAAAATAGATAAAGAAGAATTTGTCCATGGAATAAAGAAATGGGTGGATGAAGCCTTTAAAATTGCCAAATGCCTTGACAAGAATGAAAGCTTGAAAGAATTTGACAGGGTGAGAAAATTATTTTAACTTTCTACATAAGCTTTTTGTTATGCTTTGTACAAAGTCATCCATTTTTCCTTTCTCCTCCCTTAACTTGCAGATAGTATGGGAGAAGCTCAATCAGCGACACACTTTCTGGAATTTTGTAAAATCTGTCTCTAGAATAGTTTTGGGTATTGTTATAATGACCTTCGTTGGAGGACCTCTCACGACTAGTATCCTACAGTTATCATATGCCATAGGGGTGCCTTCTTTCTCCATCTCATTTGTGATAGTGCCATTGGCAATGAATACAAGAACCTTAATAGAAGCTATCTTTCCAGTTAGTAAAAAGACTCAGAAAACGGCATCTTTAATTTTCTCCGAGGTCTCTCTCTCTCTCTCTCTCTCATACACACACGCGCGCTCACACGTATGCACACATTACAATAGAGCATTAAAGAATTTGTGAAGGACTCCCTGGTGAAATATTTTTTATTCAACTTGCAGATTTATAATAGCGTTGCAATGAACAACATCTCGAATTTGACAATTCTGTTAGCAGTTGTATATGTGAAGGACTTGCCATGGGATTATTCAGCAGAAGTGCTAACTATTTTGGTTGTCTGTGCCATAGTAGGGATTTTGGGATACTCAACTACAAAATATCCTTTCTGGACTTGCTTATTAGCATTTTTTCTCTATCCATTTTCCTTGGCGCTGTACTGTTTTGTCGAACTTGTTCTTCACTGGAACTAAACAGATCATGTATCTCAGGTTTCTTAGCCTCTTCCGTCCAAATAAACATGTTGTGCTATCTCATTAGGAAAGTAATAAAAGTGATATTATTGCCTACGAGCATCATGTTATGTTCATAACTATCATTTGAAAACTCCCGTAACAAATTGCCAACGTAACATCCACGATCAATTTATCTAATTTAAAATCAAAGCATTTATTGAAACGGGCTTCTGAAAATCTAGAGTCTGTATTCCACAATTTTCGGAATATAATTTATGCTTCAGTGACAAGAACTCGGTAGAAGATACATAAAGAGTACAAATCTATTTTTTGCATTAGATCAGCAAAAAGTTAATTCTATGCAACTCCTCTTAGGGAATAGTTAACTTCAAATATACATAAAAGTAATTATTTCATTTTTTCTATCTATCTTTAACTACTCCACTAATAAATTGTATACATAAAGACGATTCGTTTTCCTTTTGAAGCCCTCTTCTACATAGAGAAGTGTTATCAAAACAACATTATTCAAAAATCAATTTATTCAAATTATATAAGCACTAACCTTCACAGAGAGAGAGAGAGAGAGAGCATAGGAAAAAATATGCATTGTTTCTGTGTGAATGTTAAGATTTGTACTAACACGACTCATCTCAAATCACCCGACCCGAAATGTGACGTGCGCCAATGATAGATGCTGACTAGGTGTCAAATCTATTACCAAGACTGACTATGAGTTACTACAAAATGCGCCAAAATCAAATACAATGCAAAATATAATGAGATGGGCCCAAATTACTTACTTTATGCCTCATCAATATGAGTTTATAACACTCAACATGTCGTGTGGCTCTCATTCCGAAATCATTAGGCCCTTCCAGCTAAAAAGAATCAATTGCTACCTGTAAGAAAATTATGGAAAAATATATGAGTTGATAGCTCGGTGAATGGAGAAGTTAGAAAATAATTATACTTTTTCATTTAATCATTTTTCTCATTCATAGACATCAAGCTCATATTGTTTAGTAATTCACACGATAGCCTCATAAAATTTATATAAAAAAAAAAGAGACATTCTCGTAACTCTGTAAATATCATCTCATATTCACGATATAGTCATCAGCTGATATCAATACCATTATCTCATCACATTACATGTGATCTACCAAAAATGTACCCTCTAACTAAAATATATGATCCACCCATTGGGCTAATTACTTTTGCCACGGGCCTTTGGCCTCCTCCGTGAATGAAAGTCGGTTTCAAGACCTCTGATAATCAGTTCTAGAACACGGCCAAGGCCCCTCAGTGAACTACATGTACACGGTCGAGACCCCTTCATCCTTGGTCCAAAACCCCTTAGTGTAGTATAGAACATGGCCAAGGCCCCTCTATGAACTAGAAAAATATATAAACACAGGTACTTTTCTGGCCGATCTCAATATCACATATGTTTCACACACCAAGTCATAAATGTACCACAAGTAATCTTTGAAATTCCACATGTATCATAATAAAAGAGATTTTCATAATAATCATATAATCGAACACATAATTGCATATACATTAATAATATACTTAATTTATAAATACTTTAAAAAATTTATATTTTTCTACTCACAGAACTATGTACGTCCAAATCAACACGATTGGTAAGCTGTCACGATATTCGTATCGTCGCCTGAAATAGATATAATTTTTAAATCAACAATTAGTTATTTTAAGTGATTTCAATAATTAACTAGGCGATATTCAAACTTAATCATTTCACGTTTAAGTGATTTTTAAAGTATTTTTAATCACTAAAACTAATTTTTCTTTCATTTTACTCAATTTTATAGTCTATTATACTTAACCCCTTCAATAAAATTAAATTTGATTTAACAATCTAACAATTATAAAATTAAGCATAACATTTCAATAAGTAACTTTTTACTTACCTTTAACTTTGAAGAATTCTAGCTTAATAGTAGAAAAACTTATTTTCTAACATATTGGCGAAATTTTCCTTTTTTTTTTTCCTTCTTCTTCTTCTTCTTCTTCTTCTTCTTCCTTTTTTTTTTTTTTTTTTTTTTTTTTTTTTTCCTTCTTCTTCTTCTTCTTCTTCTTCTTCTTCCTTTTTTTTTTTTTTTTCTTTTTTTCTTTTCTCTCTTCTTCTTCTTTGTATCGTTTCTCGGCTTCTCTCACCTTTGTATTATGAAAATGGGTTTGGATTTTTCTTTTTTCTTTTTCGTCTTTTGGTCTCTCTCTCTCTTAAATATAGCATGATATATTTGACTTTCTTTTATATATATATACACATATATTATATTTAAGGTATTACAAAACTCACCTCTTTCAAAGAATTTCGTCTTTGAAATTCAATTGGTTAAGATTCCAACATATAAATATGTAGAGAGCATATTTGATTATCACTTGCCATAATGCTTCATATATCGAATGATTACTCCAACAAACTCTTAGTCCCAAAATTTAATCTTTCCTATCATACCTTTCATAACTTCCTAAGAGCCAATATATGATATTCTCGTCTTTTCCTTTTCCCAACCCTTAAGAAAACTCAATTATTTTCCAATTTAAAGTTCAAAAGAGTATTTTTCAAAATTTCCCAATCTTCAACTTATATCATAATTTAAACTATTCTCTAATCATTTTTTTTTCTTTTTCATATCACCCAATGATAATATATACACAACTTCAATTTTCACCATTTCGAATAAAAATATACCTTAAACTCCAATGATAGTAAGTATCGATGTTTCTCGCAATGCGATGACACCACATTTCCTAAATTCAACCTCAATATAAACAACTATAAATCATGCTTTAATCATGCCTTTTCAACAATCTATAGTATCATCCATAATTTATAAGTTTACTTTAAAATACTTTCTAAATCTTAACATAAACCATTATCATGAATCAATCACTTATCATCTTTAGATATAAGAGCAAATATTTCCTGAGAATTTCCTAATAGCAAAACTTTTGACATTTCTATACCCATATAAATTTTGTTCTTTCTTTCTATAAAGCGAAAATAATAACATTTAATCATGAAAATCTATACTCTTATTCCATAAATGGGTCGTTGATCTATCATCACTGCATATTCCTTTTTGTTTATCACATAAAGACCTTTGATTAAGATTATAACCCAAAGACACTATCCCACAATTGACTAAAGTTTACATTCAATGATCATCCTAAACTTCAAACTATTCGACATATCATCTATATATTCCATAGCAAATACATCTCAATAAAAATGGAATACTTTATACGTGAAATCCAAATATACTATTGAAAATCACCCAAAAATTACATCACTGACAATTTATTAAATTCATCTTAACTTCAAAATTTAACTCCATGCTTCCAAATTATATGGAATATAACACAATAATCCAATGAATGGCCTTACCAAGATTAATTAACTTAATAACCCAAATTTGTCATCACATTATTTTGCTATAGGACAATAATTATATTCATTTACATGCTATTCACCATATCATGTTATGATCATGTAACATTGACATTTATCGTCATATCGTATGACCTAAAACATTTAATTATATCAATTTTCCTTAAGATCACAAAATAAAAATCTTCCACACATCAATGTACCATCAAAATTGCACATGTTAATTTTCGAATCTCAATAAATTCCGACTTTACCATTTTCTACTCCTTTTATTTCTCGATTCACATAAACGTACCTAAATACTCATATCCATTTAATTATATTTCTTAAGCAACAAATAACCCCATAATCAGTAATCATTATGAAGTTCATCCATATTATTCTCACATTCCTTATAATCAAATAACTCATAAATAATCGAAATAATTGGAATTATAGTTAATTTTCTCTATGCCTAAAATATACGATAACACATTGTCATCTATCAATCAACAAATCATCATTTTATTTTCCAGAATTTCTTATCATGTAGATAACTATACACCATCATGATTTATATTATCGTCCCGTAAAAGTGGCCACAAATCACCACAAAATTTGATAACACTAATGACCATTTGGCTTCAAGAATAATTAAAATTCCCCACTAATTGTCACCAATCACACATCATATTATTTACTTGTATTTATCGTGCAAGCTATAGCTAAAAATTTTCTTACGTACTCATAAAAAAAATCAGGTAGTTCTACAAATAAATTGATAATTAAGTGGTTGTAACATCTGTAACTTCGAATGCCCCATAAAATCATCATAATCTGTTCAAATCTTAATAGGTTATATATACACATAGTTCCAACCCAACAACTAATAACATTTTCAATCATCGGATCATTGCAACTACCATACTTATATACTAGTCTTTTCTGGATATGTTAAAAATATCTTTCTATCATTTTTGAAACCACAAATTTGAGCTGGAGGGCCTGTGATTTTTCCCACCAAGATATGTGACCATACGCATTGAATATGCACGATATGTCAATGCATGAACTACAAAGACTTTCAAACTTTACAAACCATGCTCAGATACCACATTGATACGACCCGTCCTGAATGACCCTAGTGGACTCGAAATGTGACGTGCGCCGATGATAGATGCTGACTAGGTGTCAAATCTATCATCAAGGCCGACTATGAGTTACTACAAAATGCGCCTAAATCAAATACGATGCAAAATATAATGAGACGGGCCCAAATTATTTACTTTATGCCTCATCAATATGAGTTTGTAACACTCAACATGTTGTGTGGCTCTCATTCCAAAATCATTAGGCTCTTCCAGCTAAAAAGAATCAATTGCTACCTGTAAGAAAATTACGAAAAAATATATGAGTTGATAGTTCAGTGAGTGGAGAAGTTCGAAAATAATTATACTTTTTCATTTAAATATTTTTCTCATACATAGACATCGAGCTCATATCGTTTAGTAATTCACACGATAGCTTCATAAAATTTATATCCAAAAAAAAAAAGGAGACATTCTCATAACTTTGTAAATATCATCTCACATCCACGATATAGTCATTAGCTTATATCAATACCACTATCTCATCACATCACATGTGATCTATCAAAAATGTACCCTCTAACTAAAATATGTAATCCGTCCATTGGGCTAATTACTTT